ACGGGTCCTGGCCCCAATGAAAGTGTAAGTCTTTAAGTAAAAATATAAATAAATGAATTTCTCTTGGTTCACGGATGAAAAACTCTTTTTCTAAATTATGTGAATAAATGAAAACATGAAAATTATGGACCTTCGCACTCACACGCATCTACTCGCACACGCTGGCGCATACAGACTAGTATGGGATAAATGTAACATTAAAATCCGTTTCAAAAATCTCCAGGTGATGTCGGCTTAATCAAGATACTGAACATTAAACAAATGACATATGAGTCATGATACTACTTTTATTGAAAGTCGGCATGTATCAAGTAAGGCGATATTAAACTATGCAGTAAGATATAATGTAACATATACTAATCCCAAAATGCACTTTTTATTAATAGGATAATATTCATACGGTACAACAATGGGAATTGATTAATGAAAATTGTAAACTAGGCGCAGCTAAAACTTTGCTATAACAAAAAATTGTAGTAAAAATTATTTCCTGAAAGTTATATTAACACAGGTTATTCGAATGTTTCAAAAATTCCCCCGACCATATTACACATGGACAAATTGAATGAAATGAATATCAGTATGGTATATATATCATTTCACTAAGTAAATGGCTTTGCTAATGTCTAAATTGAAGAGTTAATTTTTGAATGAAGTTTTACGGTCCGTCCAATTTAAATTATGTTTTATTCATGAAAATAATATTTATATTTGAGTTAAAGGGAGGAAACATGTGGCGACCGTGAATGAATTAAGAATTTGAAACATAAAGTTGTTTAAATATCGATTAATTAACAATCATGATTATTAACAAAGGAAGTTATAGTATATTGAATTGTATAGATAATAACAAAAGTTTATACAAGTAGAAAATAGGATAAGCCCAGGTCATGTTATATTATTAATAATGAATGGCTAATACGTCACATTATTTATGATGGAATACTTGTGACACAATATACAACAATATTAACGGACACGTTTAACATGACGTCTATTTGGGGTCACAAGGGCGGTAACTCCATTTCAAAGTAATATGGATCAATTCCATTGTGGCTGCAACAAACGATGTTTCCTGAATACGAAATATACATATAGAATATAATCATATGAGAAGATATAATATGAACAAGTATTTAGCGCACTTTTAATCAAGTATTGCAGCATACTACTGTAATTTACTAAGGCAATCGTTATTATCATTCTATTACGCGCTTTCCATGATAATTTACAATCTACTAGAATTAGTTCAAGCGATGGCTTAGAACAATATAACAAAACTTACTGACATGTGTTACTTCTGATTCTTTTGGAAGCAGTTTTCCAATGATCATGACCATGATTAGCAACCGTTTAATTTGTAATCGAAGACATAATGAGGGTAAAGGCAAATATAATAGAACATAACTAGTTCAAAGTTTTTTATTTTGAAAGGGCTCACATTTTCCAATGGATTATTATCTCTAATTATTTAAAGTCCTTTCACACCAATATTTACGAAAAACAATGAATTGTTTGGACTTTGTGGTAGCAATAATAATACTAATGCACTTAACTATATTCTGATGGTTGTAAGACGAGAAATATTTTCACCCAAATTACGAAATCAACTCCCTTCATTTTATATAATTGTATGAACTGTAAAACGTTATGATGAAATGGAAAAATATATAAACCAAACAAAACTCGAAAAGAATAAATTAAAACAAAATTGATTTCACTTTAGAAAATATTTTGGAAGTGTTGGAACGTGCCACCACCAACACGATCATGTATTTAATGTTTGGAAATATCTACAATATTTAAAATAATAATGTTGTCATTCATTTTTTGTTTCTATCTGCCAAAAAATTTACGGTCGTGATGAATATTATCTTTGTTTAACCATTCTGTATATACAAATTATTTCTTCAATTATTTGTATATGATTTATGGATTTACTGTATACGATATAATTCGTTTTAAAAATAGAGAACTCTGTGGAAAGGAATAAAAGGGCTGAACCTAGCTTTTGTTTCAATATTGTTCGAAACAATGAGTAAATGGTAATACATATCTAGCTTTCAATTTTTATGGAAAAGATATGATAACAAACACTATATGAAAATCATAACATGTAGAAATAAGATTAATTTATAACACGATTATCATCTGTGAAGATTACTTCGAATTACTCTGAAAAAACATGCCTTTTTATGAATTTTTATTTCATAGGATGGATTGACTATAATAGGCACAACTTATCAAAATGATTTTCATAAATATATACGTCAGGAGTGGCGTTAAAACGTTTCAGCTTCTGGGCGCTATCATTTGGAATTTATCATTTAGTTATATTTCCAAATAGATTCCATGAGTGATTACATGTCAAGGCTACCATACTACAGCATGTCATGGCAATCTTGAAAAGAATTATATTCAAACTTAACAGAGTTTGGGCAATGGTTATCCCGGATAAAAAGACAAGTTCTTTTTGTCCTCTTTGTGTCTTTATACATAATTATAAGAAATCAAATATTCTATGAATTTAATTGATACGAAACTCACCGGCTGTGCAAGTGGGCATACATCGAATTAGTTTACACATTATACATTTTTCAAACAGATGTTTATTGTGATAGTCAAGATGTTCTTACTTTCACAATTAAAACAATTTGTGACAATCATTCTGATATACTTGGAAATGCCTTCTTATTACTTTGTTATTTCGGGCTTACTTAAAAACCACCCGATCGATTAAAGAAAGATGATAATTCTTAAAAGGATACACAAAAAAAGAGGGAGGTACAAAAAGAGGAATATAAGGAGAAAGAGAGAGAAACAAAGAGAGAACCCCTTCAGAAAGAGAGTGAAAGGGCGAAGAGAGAGAGAGAGAGAGAGAGAAAGTATAAACAGGCCCGTGTCAATCAAAATTCTGAATATGAAAAAGGATAAACACTGCTTAAAGATACTATGTCCCTTTTGCAGCCAACATCAAATTCTGTAGAACTTTACAGGAATTATGAATATGTCATGTATGTCCTATCTGTAAAATTTAAACGTTAGCAGTGTCCTAATATTCAAATTATGCAAGGAAACCCGTTTACTTGCTAGACTTCACTGTCAGACACTATTGAGGGACTGACTGGCTATTTTCATCTTTGGTACTAACATATATAAAATGAGCTGTAAAGGGTACATGAGCATTTGTCTATATCAATAACCCACTTCTTGTAATGGCCAAAATTAAACTGATTGAATCTTTGCGCAGCATAAAACGTACGACCATTCGGTACAATGGTCTAAAAAATCAGACTATTACTTATTGGCTTTATAGCTCCTAATTCGATTCGACAACTAATAGTCGCTATTTTCCCACCTAAAGACATTTTAAAGCACCGCCTTTTTTAGGGAAGTTCTAAATTAGGATTGTCTTTCAAATGCCGTTGGAATTTAACCTTTTCATTTTTTGGCCTGCAAATGGGACAAAGTACCTTTGAAGCAAAATGAGGGATAAGAAAGGAGTAAAAAATATAAGAATAATATGAAAACAGAGAAACTTAAAATCCATTTTTAAAGAAATAGCATAGAATACAATACAAAATAAGCTAATAATAGAGACAAAAAGTAAAAATGTCTGTAAGGGCAAATGCCACTTGGTATTTAGAGTAGTCGTGCTTTAAAGCATTTTCGGTTCCAGTATCTTTCATCAAGAGGGGGGTCTTTATGCGGGCAGGTTGACCTGGAGGGGAGCAGTCATAGAGGATTCTGTTGTAGGTGGAGGCGTAGCGGAAGCGGTAGACATTGGCTAAAGCTCTACCGTAACTGGAGTAGGCTTTTGCCGTTTTCTGCAGGTGTACAAAACGGCAACCATGGCAATGAGGGTCAGAATAAACAACGAGACTCCGACGAACGACATCATACCGATTACCCGGGATGATGTTGAATATGTTGGTGCTGCTGAATGGAATGAATAGCAAGCAAAAAAAGAAAGAGAGAGAGAGAGAGACTCTTTAGGCGTTTATCTCAACATAAATTCGTTCTAATTGATGGAAAAAAATGTGATCGTTTGGAGGGAAGATCATGAAGTATGGTAGGTAGTTAATATTTTACATTATCTTATGGTCATTTATACATTTACAAGAGGGAAATAGAGGAGACAAATAATAATCATTCAAACATAGTGGATTTGATGACAAAATCCTCGAACTCTGGGTTAAATTTACCTCGATAATGATAATGATGGTAATGATAATAATAATAATAATGATAATAATAATAGTAATACTGATGATAATGCCAATAATAATCATAATCATAATAATAGTAATAACAATTATAATAATATTATTTGATGATGATATTTTTCATCAGAAATTTGTTATCCCTGATCATAGCCCCGCATGGTTGCTATCATGAATATAATATGGGACATGAGCATTCCGCGAATTTCTACTAACTGATTACCCATTCCCTGCACGTGATAGTCCACTGCCTGGACTGTTCTCTACATGATCCGTGCGCGCTCACATATTACTAGTACACCATAATATGCACGTACGGAAACAGAGCCGGGGAAGGTGAATTCGTGGGGAGTACGCATATCATACACGCGCGCGCATTCGGGAAAGGGCAACAGATTAAAACGACCATAAGCTGGTCTATGCACGTGAGGGCAAAGGACATCACTTCCGTGACAGGGATTTGAACCCCATACCTTGTGCTTCATGGTCCATGAACATAATCCAGCAGACCAAGACAACTCATCGGTAAGATCTTAATTGACTTTGAATGGGCGCTTACCACATTCTACTCCTGCATCCTCATAATGGCTGCATATGGAATCCCCTGAAGACAGAGTACAGTGATTCAAGGTATACTCCCAACCAGAGCACTGGACTTGTTGAATCGGTCCCGATCCCGATTGTGCCCATCCAAGCGTTAAAATTCAGAACTTGATCTTAATTGATGTCGTTTAAGTACCAATTTTTCTTTAATTCGATATAAATATCTTATTATATCTAATTGAGGACTTATTCAAACATTTAGAACAGCAGAGAGTATCCATTTTCGTTTTTTTGCTGAGTGAAGCTGCTCGTCATGCGAAAAGAAAGTATAAACTTACCGCATCTTACTCCTGCATCCTCATAATGGCGACATAATGAATCCCCTGAGGTCAGAGTACAGGATTGCAAGGTATCCTCCCAACCATCACATTGGGCTCGTTGAATTGGTCCTGATCCTTGCCCATAGTAGGCTGAACTCCTTGCCACGACATTATCGGTGCTATAGCCAAGCTGACGACAAACAACCTGTGCTTCTTCAAGATTCCAGTAATCATCACAGATTGTGTTCCACCGGCCATTGTAAAACATCTCTACTCTTCCCTCTCTGGGCGATGGACCGTCCATGAGCCGTACGTTATAGATTCCATCGCCTGTGGTTGTCGGTTGCCATGGAAATGCCGTGAAAATGTCGCTTCCTTCAGCAATAAGTGGAAAAAAGGGAAATATCAAAGAACATAGCTCCTTCAGATGTGGGTGTGCCATAGCTGGTTAAAAAGCTATAATTTATGCTTCATTTGCATGCAGATATTAATTCGTCTACATTTTAATGCACGAAACTTCTATTTTTTTACACCGCTACAACCATCCACCAATACATAGATGTATAAGAATAAAACAATGCGAATACTGGTGTGATATAATTGGTAAAACGCGGAGGTACATTTGATTTTTTTTTTTAAATTGAAAAATCCCCCCAACAAAGTTCGAACAATCAATAACTTCCTCAAACCTCTTATTTTATCTGGAATATTAAAATAGTTTGCTAAATGATAAATTAAACAAGTGCACAGATTGTTTTATATCAAGGTGGTTAGACGTGCAATTTTTCTCCAATAAGGGAATCATTGTGAACTATATTAAACAAAAATCTGTCCAGCATATTTTTTATATGAAAATTTATTAATTCTTGTTATAACAGGTAAAACTTAAGTACAATGGAAACACATATATACATAGAAACAACCACTTCCAAGTAACATGAAAGTTGCTAGAATATCTTCAGTTCGAAAGGAAAAGAAGAACATTGATCATTGATTAGTTCTGAACATTTTGTCTAAATTTAATTTGTTCAACAGCCGATGAGACAGACATAACAAAGAACAACATAAGAAAAAGGCCGCGAGACCGACAATGTCGATAAAGTGGGTTGTCAGGTCTCCTGGGCTGTCGGTATAGTGAACACTATTACAAGTTTTGTCAGGAGGCCGGCGAGACGTTGTTAATCTCGTGGGCTGGGGCGGTTGATCGCCTTCCACGACGCCCTCACCTACCTTGATGGTGTTTTTGAATTTCATTTACTAAGTTTAGATTGAACACGATAGGAACTATTTTCGAAAAACCAAACTAGGGCAACTTCAATAGCCTTATGCGTCACCTATTCAAATGTGTGATCATGAGAATGACGTATTGCATAATCCGATCATCAATTCTATGAAACATACCATAGGGTATAGGAAGTGCCAATAAGTTGTTTTCTGCATAAATAATTGCGGTCGTGTTACTCATGCCTCCCCCAATTAACCAATGCCAGTGCCCATGCCTCTTGTGAGATCAATTTTTAGTATTTTCCCTTTTATATTGATAAGGAAGTTGACATCGATGACTTCAAATTATCCATAGTGTTGAATGTTCGTGTGTGTAAAGTAGATGTTATCATAGACCCTATCTTTTGCTGGAATACACTGAGCAAAAAGGAGAAAAAAGAGTGGAAACGATTTATAGTTAAGATTTTTCAAGTAAATATTTAATTTGTATTAATCTTTCATATTATCAGAATAAACAAAAAACTAATCCTCATAAAGATGATATGCAGTTTGAATCATACTATTTATCCACGAGTGAGCATTGCCAATTAACAATAAACGAGTCTCTGACAAAATTGCAAAAATGAGCCATCTGGCCATTAAAATGTAAATGAGCATTGGAGGTATCCTAGGCTCGTCGATTTTAGGTGGAAAGGAGAAGCATCTTGACCGTGCTAGTCAATATCATGGAGTCCCGAGACTACTGATAACATCCATAGCTCATTCCTCTCAATGTTTTCATTCTTTGTTTGTATTGTTAAACAATAATGTCTTAAGGCCCGGTCACACAGAGGGGACGCATGGGGAACGCACGGCCAGTGCATTGGAAATTTGCAATTTTGGCCAGTTTGTTGTCGTGCGCCAAACTTTTGTCGAAGCTACAGCGAGCTGACAACAAGTGCATAGCGTGTTGCTAGCTTGTTGAGCGCATACAGGGCGCATACAGTGCGCATACAGACCGTACACAGAGCGCACATGATAACAACTTCCATGAATGCACATTGTGTTGCTAGCGCGCTGGACGTATGGTCCACGCATGCACCGCGTTCTCAACAGAAGTGGTCACACTTAGACTACGCACGGAAATCGGTAAAGGCTGTGTGCCTAACTTTTGTCATGATTTTGGAAAAGCTAGCGAGCTGACACAAAATGCACAGCGTGCAGCTAGCGCGCTGTGCGTTCACAGGGCGTGTGCTCCGCGTATGCCTGGCGCTGGTCTAACGCGCTCAGCGCATGTCTGGCGTGCCTTTGGTGTGTACATTCATGCGTCGAGCTCCGCGCACACTTTTGAGTATGCTCAAAAAATCACGACGCACACAGCGAATGACGACGAATGCATAGCGTGGATCCAGCGCGCTCGACGAACGAGTAACGAATGATGACGCACGCCTAGCGAACGACAACGCACTGGCCAAAATTGCAAAGTTTCAATGCGCCGGCCCACAGTGGGCCAGGGAGGAACCAAAGTGCGCCAAAACTCATGTTTGGGGATTTATTTTTTATAAATCCAGAGGAAATGTTTGGATTTCCGGGGATTTTCGCTTACATTTTATTACCAACATTTTTTCTGATGTCTAAGCTTTAAGTTGATACCAGATTTGGCTGCCCGATTTTGCCCGTTAATATGTTAGATCCGTTTTCCTTGCAACATTGCCCCGAAAAATGTGTTTATTTTGGTCCGCGATGTCAGAACAAGTGTCACGCGCCCCCTCGCGCCGTCATTTATGACCACGAATCCTTCATGATTCAGCCGCGGACCCCCAAAACCCACATTTTTCGGGGCAATGTGGCAAGGGAAATCGACTCTAACATAACAACGGGCAAGATCGGGCAACCAAATTTGGTATCAACCTAAAGCTTAGACATCAGAGGAAATGGTGGTATTAAAATTTAAGCGGTACACCGCGGAGATCTAAACATTTCTTCTGGATTTATAAAAAACATGGATAATTAGTCCATTTTTCAGTGAATTACCCTATAATATATCATGAAGATTGTATTTATATAAATTTTAACCCATTCATTCAACAAAATGAATTATCAGGAATATGTGAGAGCAATTTCATATCAATAACTTAAAAAATTCATGTTGAATTGAAAGATTTATAAAATAAGTCACTTTTGCACTAACACTGTGAATACGTAGGATTTTGCTGTTTGAAGTAGTAAGTTTATACCATTATTGTGCATACCGGAATTAAATATTTCACTGAGGTATTCCTCTATGTATTACCTCTCAACTGGGCAAGAAAAAAATTGGAAAAAAAAATCACCCAAACTTACTTTTGGCGCACTTTGGTTCCTCCCTGGCCCACTGTGCGGCCGTGCGTCCCCCATGCGTCGTCTGTGTGTGACCGGGCCTTCACAGGTGCACATGCTCATCAATAATACTATAATTTTAAAAATTTCTTAAAGGGATCGTTAAACAATGTTAAATATGAGAAACACGGCCCAACGTGTTACCAGTGTCTGTGATATAGTGTAATATTGAAGCCCTAACAAAATTGCGCTTCAAAATGATCAAGAAGTGCCTCAAGAAAGTAAAAATCTTTGAGTGACCGGTTTACCATACTCGTTTTCCCCAATACACTGTAGTGTTATGAAAACCGTCAGGCGAACGGTTTTCATAATTTGTAATTCCAATCATAAATATTTTGATAATCAGACAGGCGATCGGCTTGTTAAAGTCTCATGGGGTCCCTGACTGAACTAAAGGTTTATAATTATCATTGCATCATGAGCTAAATCCAGAATTTTGTTTCAGAATCTGAGACAAAGTTACCGTATCCCTTTAATCAGATCTTCGTACTGTAAAACGATTCTGCCCGTCCAAGCGCGATGTTGTTTTATTGTTTGTTTAATTTGCTATAAATGTCTTATTATATCTTATTAAGGGCTTATATGAACAGTTTGAACGATACAGAGTGTCTATTTTCTTATTTTCTGAGAGTAGCCGTCGCCATGCGAAATGGAAGTATAAGCTTACCGCAACTAACTCCTGCATCCTCACGATGGCTACATTCGGAATCCCCTGAAGTCAGAGAACAGAAGCCCAAGTTAGACTCCCAACCATCACATTGGGCTTGTCGAATCGGTCCTGATCCTGCACCATAGTAGGCAAATCTCCTTGCTACGACATTATCGGTGCCATAGCCAAGCTGACGACATACAACCTGTGATTCTGGAAGATACCAGTAATCATCACAAATAGTGTTCCATTGGCCATTGTACCAAATCTCTACTCTTCCTTCTCTGGGCGATGGACCGTCCATGAGCCGTACGTTATAGATTCCACCGCCTGTGGTTGCCGGTTGCCATGGAAATGGATCACTGGTTGTGAAAATGTCGCTTCCTTCAGTAATAAGTGAAAAAAGGGAAATATCAGAGAAGATAGGTCCATCAGATGTGCGTCCGACTCATAGCTGATTAAAAAGCTATAATTTATTCTTCATATCCAAGCAGATATTAATTCTTCTACATTTTTAATGCACGAAGCTTCTATTTTCACACTGCTACAACCATACAAAACTACATAGATGTATGCATATGAGAATAAAACAATGCGAATACTGGTGAGATATCATTGGTAAAACGAGGAGGTACATTTAAAGATTTTTTTAAACAAATGAAAAGTTCCCCCAACAAGGTTAGAACAATCAATAACTTCCTCAAAACCTTTTACTTTCCTGGAATATTAAAATAGGTCCGCGTCATACCAAAAGACGTTAAAAGATGGGAGTTGTTGCTACCTTGTTTGGCGTTCAACAATAAGGGATAGACCAACGTCGATCTGGCGCTGCTTAGTGGCTGCCGGGCTCACGATCAATTGGGCAAAAAGAATTTCCGTTTCGGTTTAATAAAATTTGGAGTGGACTATTAGATTATTATTATTATTATTATTATTATTATTATTAATGATAAATTAAACAAGAGCACGGATTGTTTCATATAATTTTGGTTGGACGTGCAACCTTTCCTCCAATAAGCGAATCATTGAGGCTGTTCACATCGGCAGAGATAGTGCGCGCTAGACCGCGCTATCTCTGCGGTTTGGAAGGTACACCGTCGTTTCGGTCCGCCCAACAGCGAGCCACGGCGAGCCAAAACGACGTGCCACTGGAGCACCTCTTGGGGGGTGGTCTATGAGAGATAGCGCGGTCTAGCGCGCGCTAGAAAAAGGGGGTACTACGATAGACCGCGCTATCTCATTGCGGTGTGAACAGCCTCATTGTGAACTATACTAAACGAAAATCTGTCCAACGTATTTTTTATTTGAAATTATATTCCTTCTTGTTCACAAATGTGGATAGATGCTTTTCACCAGTTATAACAGGTAATGCAAGATATCAAGACAGAACAAGCGACCACTTCCAAGAAACATGAAAGTTGCTAGAATACCTTCAATTCATAAAGGGGCTTTCACACCGGGCCTTGCGTAGAGTTGCGTAGAGTTGCGTAGCGACTACGCCGATCGTACGCAACCCTACGCAACTGTACGCGGAGGGACGCGAATGGGTACGCGAGATGAACGCAAAAAATTAAACATGTTTAATTTTTTTCGCGTACCTTCGGCGTAGACTTTAGTACGCAACTGTACGCCAAGCCTACGCAACTGTACGCCAAGCCTACGCAACTGTACGCCAAGCCTGCGCAAATGTACGCCAAGCCTATGCAACAATACGCTACCCTACGCCAATCCGACGAAGCATTAAAAACGTATGGTATAAAGATTTGTTTGGGGACCTGGATGTAAACTTGGCAGATATTGACCATTGATCATTCTTGCTTGTTCTTCTGTTTGTACCACTACAAGGTATTTCAGACTGACATGTTTTGTTTTGTTATGGTTTATTAAATTTGTGATAATTGACATCTCAGGCTGTTGATATAATAAACATAGATAAGATTCATAAGCTGATGCCTCATGCGAAAATTTTATTATGTTTTGTGGAAATCTGTATGTATTTGTGTCGGTTTGTTTGCTTGTGTGTACGTTTGTGGTCCTGTTTGTATGTTTGTAATATAATTTTGTTTAATTGAAATGAGCCAAGAAATATTTTTTTCTCACTCTGTTAAAGAGACTGAGTGAGTGTGTATGTCAGAAGTATTTCTTTAAATTTGATAAATGACTAACATTTATATCATTACATTGTCACACACAAATACGCTACGGACCAAGGACAACAGATATCGTCTTCAAACTTTCACGAAACTGTTATGGAATGATATATTACAAATGAGTGAAAAAAAGAGATATGGTCAACAAATATCAGACTTCTGTCCACATTTATTCACAAATCAAATTAAGCGCTCTCTTTTGTTGGCGTTTTGAGTTATCAAATCACATCACGTGACCTTGCAATGTTTATCAAAAGAAAGTTCATATATTACCCTTTTCAATGATACATAGTACAATAATGTAGTACATCAACAAAAATGTCTGCATTTTTTGGAAAATAAAATCTTGAACAAATTAACATTACTGCAAAATAACCTCAGCAGTTGCTAATACCTACTAAAAAAAACTGAAAATGTCACGGTCAAAAACGTGTACCAAATGCCACTTTTTACTAGTAAAACTTATGGCAGGTTTATAAATGTTATTTTATGCACTCACTATTTTACGCAAATTGGCGTTTCAGCCCTATTACACGCATGCAAAAGAGACCCACTGCCCCTTGGATGTCACAGTTTGTCAGAATGTTATGATTATACTAAGATCAAGTTATCTTCACATGTAATAACATGTACAATTCTTTGTACACTGCACAGTTCATTTATACAATATTTTGAACTGTCTTTAAAAAAAAAAAAATTATTATATATGTTTATAAAGCGCCAATGGCTATACTGGCGGCTCCTACGAGCGTCTATTGCATTTTTACATGGCATTTTCTCCCACAGTAAGCAACCGTACGCAACAGTAAGCAACCCTACGCCAGGCCTACGCAACCGTAAGCAACCCTACGCCAGGCCTACGCAACCGTACGTAACCCTACGCCAATTGCCTACGCCGAAGGTACGCGGTGCCTACGTACAGGGTACGTAACTATACGCCGATCGTACGCAAGCCTACGCATAACCTACGCAGGGACTACGCCGAAGCATCAATTTATTCATGAGTACGCAGCTTAATTTCGGCGTAGTCGGTACGCAACACTACGCAACTCTACGCAGATCCGGTGTGAAAGGGGCTTAAGGAAAAGAAGAACTCATGATCATTGATTAGTTCTAAATATTTCGTCTAAATTTAATTTGCATTTTTACATGGCATTTTCACACACAGTAAGCAACCGTACGCAACCGTAAGCAACCCTACGCCAGGACTACGCAAGCGTATGCCTACGCCGTAGGTACGCGGTACCTACACACAGGGTACGTAACTATACGCCATCGTACGCAAACCTACGCAGGGACTACGCCGAAGCATCAATTTATTCACGAGTACGCAGCCTAACTTCGGCGTAGTCGGTACGCAACACTACGCAACTCTACGCAGATCCGGTGTGAAAGGGGCTTTAGGTAAACTTACCTTGGGCAACTTCAAATGTGTGATCATGAGAATGACGTATTACGTACTCCGAGCATCAATTCTATGGGACATACCCTAGGGTATTGGAAGTGCCAATGTGTAGTTTTTTTCAGAAATAATCGCGACAGTGTTACCCATGCCTCCCCCGATTAACCAATGCCAGTTCCCATGCCACTTCTGAGATCAATTTTATTTTTTCCCTTTTTAGAGTGATAAGGAAGTTGCGACATCGATCACTTCAAATTATCCATAGTTTTGATTGTTCGTGTGTGTAAAATAGATGTAATCATAGACCCTATCTTTCGCTGGAATATCCTCAGCAAATAGAAGAAAAAACCGTGGAAACGATTTATAGTTGAGATTTTCATGTAAATATTTAATTTATATTAATCTTTCATTTCATAAAAATAAACAAAAACTAATCCTCATAACAATCATATGCAATTTGAATCATACTATATATCCACGAGTGAGCATTGTCGTTTAACAATAAACGAGTCTCTGACAGAAAATTGCAAAGTTTAGGCATCTGGCCATTAAAATGTAGATGAGCATTGAATGTATCCTAGGCTCGTCCACGATTTTAGGTGGAAAGGAGAAGCATCTTGACCGTGCTAGTCAATATCATGGAGTCCCGAGACTACTGATAAGATCCAGAGCTCATCCCTCTCAATGTTTGTCATTCTTTGTTTTTATTGTTAAACATAATGTCTTACAGATGCACATGTTCATTACTATTTTACAGGCTACTCACTCTAGTTTTGCAATTTTCGTAATCAGACCTTTAAACTCAAATGATTGTGCCCATCTAAGCGTTAAAATTCAGAACTTGATCTTAATTGATGTCGTTTAAGTACCGATTTTTATTTAATTCGATATTAATAATTAAGGACTTAATCAAACATTTTGAACAGTACAGAGTATCCATTTTCTTTTTTTGCTGAGTGTAGCTGCTTGTCTTGCGAAAGGAAAGTATAAACTTACCGCATCTTACTCCTGCATCCTCATAATGGCGACATAAGGAATCCCCTGAGGTCAGAGTACAGGATTCCAAGGTATCCTCCCAACCATAACATTGGGCTGCTTGAATTGGTCCTGATCCTTGCCCATAGTAGGCCGAACCCCTTGGTGTTACATTATCAGTGTCATAGCCGAGCTGACGACAAACAACCTGTGCTTCTTCAAGACCAATGAGATCATTACAGATAGTGTTCCATTGACCATTGTACCAAATCTCTACCCTTCCTTCACTGGGCGATGGACCATTCACAAGTCTTACATTAGAGATTCCTAACTCTGCAAGATGAAATAAAGAGCAGGTAAATATCATAGAAAATATTTGAATGAGAGGTACGTATGTCATAGCTGGTTGATAAGCTATTTTTTGCACGCATGCCTGGATAAAATCGAGGAGGCGAGTTGGGTTAGAGTTGCCTGTCATACCAAGGTGGGTTCTAATCTAACCAAGGCGAATTACTGAAGCCTGCCTTGTGTGTTTAACGTGCCCCTCTCACGTTTCATAGACGTAGGCTGTGTTATTTTTTTAAATGTCCAATCTATTTAAAAAAAAAATGAGGGACCTGTATCGGTTTTAGTACGGGAGAGATGAATATCCCTACTTATTACATGTATAGGAATTTTAAAAAGAGTTGCCGATCGCCTTTATTTAGTTGATATATGAATAGTCCAATGTAAAAAGAAGTCTGTTATTTTCTAAAGTTTGTATGGAATATAGAATGCATGTGTGCATGAAAATGTGCTCAGGCTTAATGTGCTCATGGATTTGATGGTATCTTCAAAATGGATTCAATACTGTAATGGACCCGTAATGCGTCGGTGACGAAAAGTTCAGAATTTAAATGAAAACGAAAGAAGCTCGGATATACAGCTGAAGTCTACTTTAATAATTATAAAAGTCAGCCGAAGCTCCAGTAGTTACATAAGAGGATTATTTATTTAAGAACATCTTAAAGAAGCTGCTTCTCTCAGAGGCTTGGCGGCCCTATCGACGAGTAAAACTAGCAGCATATCCTAAACATGGTAACGGAATGAAATAAAATAAGGTCCCCGGAAAAATTATTGTCTAACATATTTATTGGAAATAAACACCTGTACATCTTAATGCAGTACTTCATTTGCAACGTGCTTATCGAAATGAACACTGTAATGTAATGCACGAATTCAAGACCAGGTGTTGTTTACCCGTTCCCGGCACACTATTGGAAACATAATTAATGCTATTCAACTTTTAGATGTATACCAAGTCAAACTAATATCCTTAAAATTGATCAACCCAACTCGAATCTTCCATTGCTCTAGCGCCTCCTTTAGGTCAATGTGTTGCCCAAATCAGCGTACCACTACAATATTCTTTTCGAACAATTTCCCCACGCTAATGATCCATACGTCAAGTACGGTATAGCAATAAAGTGGAATATAAGGTTCATAAAGAATAAGAGTGGAAATAATGTGTAAGTATTTTGAAAACACCTACATTTTCTTGATGATAATATACATAAGAAATCGGAGTAGATATTCAATGATAATTTACAATCAATATGAAGACCGAGCAATTGTTTGTAGAATCTATCATTCACAACCACCCATTTAAAACTTACCAGGTAAAGTGAGTAACGCATTTACTATAATCAAACGTTTAGTTAGTTAGTATCATAATGCATTCATCGCACCACAAGATTTGTTTGAGAATTATTTACATGACAGAATGCAATAAGTTTCAATTAATAACAACTCCTCCGTTACCAGGAATGTAAACATCGGTGTTCCACAAGGGTATGTGTTAGGGCCACTACTTCTTTTAATTCTATACATAAATGATTTTCAGATTGTGAGCAAATTTTCCATGCAATCATTTACGCCGATGATACTAATTTATTTTTATCAGAAGACTATATGGATTATCCGTGTAACATTCTGAACACTGAGCTCAAAAAGTTTCCTGGTTGGTTTGCATCTAACAAATTGAAAATTAATCTTTCCAAAACATGTTGCATGCTTTTTCAACGCAAGAATACAAATAACTTAAATGATTGTAATCATTGACCATTTCCACATTCCTTTGGTACATTCCACTAATTTATTAGGGATTGTTTTGAATGATATATCATAGGGGTCTAGCATGGCCAATACGTTTTAGCGCCATCTACGACTTCTTTTGTACAACTACACGTAAACGAATGGATTTGATTAACGGTCAGTGCGCGCTAGCGTTCGCGAAACAGACCGAAGTTCTCCTCACGCTTCGGTTTCGCGTAAGTTGCACGCACGTGAATACTGCGGTCGCGTCGATTGGCCCCGAGTCAGGCCATGGGAAAGGCACGTAGTCTCGTCATGCTGCTACACCCCCTCTTTTGTTGTGTTATTTGTTTGAATTGATTTTGTATTGTTTGAGCTTGTTATTGGGATTTTTATCAAATGTGCAAATAAAATGAATTGAATTAAATTAAACATGTACAATAAAATCTTGTTTGTTCAAATATTAATATAGTTTTTCAAAAGTTATTTATAAATATTAAAACGTGCGATCATGGGAATGAGGTATTACGTAATCTGAGCATCAATTCTATGGGACATACCATAGGGTATTGAAAGTGCCATTGAGTTTTTTTTATCGGAAATAATTGCGGACCAGTTACTCATGTCTCCCCCAAATAAAAATATTCCCGTGCCACTTTAAAGATCAATATTTGTTTTTCCCCTTTAGAGTGATAAGAAAGATGGCACCGATCACTTCAAATTATCTATAGTTTTATTGTACACATATGTAAAATAGTTATAATCATAGGCCCTATCTTTTTGCTGAAAGACAGTCAGCAAAAAAGAGAAGAAAGTTGGACACGACACATAGTTAAGATTTTGAAGTTAATATTTCAATTTAAACTTATCTTAAATATTTCAAAATAATCACAAATTAATCCTCATAAAGATGATACGCAATTTGAATCATATTGCCATTTAACAATTGATAGGTCTCTGAAAAAAAATTGCCCCAAATTGGCCAATTGGCAGTTACAATGTTGATGAGCATTGGAGGGTTCCTATGGCTTGTCCATAATCTTGGGTGGAAAGGAGAAGCATTTTGACCGTGATAGTCAAAGTCATGCAGTCCTGAGACAACGGATAACATCAGGAACTCATCCTTCTCAATGTTTTTTATTCTTTGGTTCTATTGTCATGTCTTACAGATGCACATGTTCATTAATAGGGACTTTTAGATTGAGTGGACGAGAACACGACGAACGCCGACTGATCATGCGTGTCAACGTAATCAACTGCCCATGTTGACTACATTTAGAAATCTTAGATTGCACTCAACGATAAACATGCATGCAGGAGGTAACACTATGAACATGACGGACAAAAGAACATCCCTTCACTGCTATTATGTAAAAATGTGTAGAACAGGTGAATATGCATGTGACACCTGTTCTACACAGTCACGTGGAAGTGTAAAACCTGATCTTAATTGATGTCGTCTAACTTTAATTCGATATAAATATCTTATTATATCTAATTGAGGACTTAATAAAAACATTTTGAACATAAGAGAGTATCAATTTTCTTTTTTTGCTGAGTGTAGCTGCTCGTCATGCGAAAAGGAAGTAAAAGCTTACCACATCTTACTCCTGCATCCATACTATGGCTACAGACGTAATCCAATTTATACAGAGCACAGGAATTCAAGGTATTCTCGAAACCGGAGCACTCGGCTAGTAGAATCGGTCCTGAACCTTGACCATAGTAGGCTAAATTCTTTGGTGTTGCATTATCAGTATCATAGCCGAGCTGACGACAAACAACCTGTGCTTCTTCAAGACTCCAGTAATCATCACAGATAGTGTTCCATTGGCCATTGTACAAAATCTCTACTCTTCCTTCACTGGGCGATTGACCATCCACAAGTCGTACACTATAGGTTTCCTCTGCAACATGTAATAAAGAGCAGGGAAATATCAAAACAAATAATTGAATGATTGAAGTAGGTCTGTCATAGCTGGTTAAAAACCTATGTTTTGCACGCATGCATAGATATAACGCTACGGTCACAAATGTTCGTACAAATCTCCCTGTTCCTACGAATGTCAGAGTTCGTAGAGATTCGTAGATAGGGCATAGATTCTTACGTCTTTCTTACGGAGTAACATTCCAGGGGGCTCACCTTCCAGGGGCAATGGCGTAATGAGCAAAAACGTTTGGAAGGCGGGGGGCAGAAGAAATTTCTGCATCACCACCACTCTTACACGTATATTGGCGTGGGGTCCAGGGCTTGAGCCCCGGCAAGGAGTCAAGGGGCTGAGCCCCCTGAAGCTCAGGGATTTAAGGCATTACATTACTGTCAGATAAGCATATTTAGATAAGCTTTAGGTAAGCTTATTTGTGACACTGGCATGTCACTAATTGGAGGGGAGTCCAGGGGGCAGAGCCCCTGGAAGCTCAGAGGTTTTTTTTTTTTAGATATTTAACTACGGTCAGATGAGCATCCAGTGGTCAACCTTAGGGCCATTGGTGGGGTCCAGGGGGCAGAGACCCCGGAAGCTCAGGGGTTTTAGGTATTTAATTATGGTCAGATGAGCATCCAGGGAACCGCTTTAGGGCCCCTAGTGGGGTCCGAAGGAGGAGCCCCTGTAAGCTCTGTGGTTTTTATTAGGCATTTTAGTTACGGTCAGATCAGTATATTTTGATACCTCATTTATGACATTGACAGGTCACTTATTTTTTCTCTCTTTCTTTCTTTTTCTCTTTAACATACGTTTTCAAAAACTGAGGGGGCTCGAGCCCCCGAGCCCAGCTGTTCTGCAGGCCCTGACATAAAGACTTTAAATAAGCATATTTTTCGCCCGCCTGTAAATTTGGGAATTTCTAATTTTCCAACAAACGCATAAAAAGGTATGACTTACAAAATGATTGAGAAAAAAATACCGGAAAATTATGTCATTTCAGTAACATTTGTAAATCACTGGTATCGAATACGAAATAACACCCCACCCCCACCCCCTTTCAGTACGCCAGCGTTCAGGGGCTCATGTCTTCTCACCCCTATAACAAAAAACACAAATGCTTTCCCATCCTTTCACAATATTTCGACGATATGCTCGTATCACTATTATAAAAACCCCCATTGACAAAGATAGGTGGCATGCGGAATGTTTAAGAATTTAAATTCCTTTTAACTTTCCTTTTCTTTGAATGGAATTTTATATGTGATTTATGTCAGGTTTTTATTATTGTTATGTTCTTTTGGGTTAAAAATACAAAACATTTTTACTCCTTTACTGCTTTTCTTTTTTGGGGGGAGGGGAGGAGGAGGGGGTGGGGCTTTTGTTTTGTTTGGGGGGGGGGGGGCAAAAAGGCGTTTATTGGTTGGGGGCGAGTGCCCCCCCCCCTGCCCCCGCCTCTCCCCCCCCCACTTCCGTCGCCTTTGACTATGAACAGAGTGAAGATTTGAACTTCGCGCGCTTGGCTTTATAACCGCTAAAACTCAAAATTTGCATAAATTGTGTACGTACACCTTACGAGCACCTTACGAACGCCTTACGAACGCCATGAGTCGTTCATACGAAGGCCATACGAATGTCCGCTCGTTAGGCGTTCTTACGAACGCCGTAAGAGCCCTCTATGAACAACTTGACGCGTTCTTACGGTCATTGTAATAATTTTAAGCTTCTCGAATTGTCCCTCGACCCTACGAAACGTACGAAAATCTTGCGTGGTTCTTACGGTGTATTTACGGCATTCGTACGGCCGCCTTACGAAGAGAGGGTTTCGTACGATGTTAAAAAAAACCAATTTGCGATCTTACGAACGGTCTACGAACGCTGGTTTCGTACGGCGTTCTTAAGAAGATCTTACGAAATGGTCTGAAAATCGTTCGTACGGCGTTCGTAGCAGCCCGTAAGGGTATTTGTGACCGAGGCTTAAGCGAGGAAGCAAGTTGGGTGGTGCCAAACGTCATCGCAAGGTAATGGCATGTGTGACCAAGACCTAAGGCCTTGGTCACAAATGCCATTACGAACTGCTACGAACGCCGTACGAACGATTTTCAGACAATGGAAATTCGGGAAGATAGTAGAAAAACAGGAAGATTCGTACGAAAGCATCGTTCGTACAAACTTTTATGACCGTTAGTAGTTGCCTGTCAAACCAAGGTGGGTTCGAGTCTAAAGCAACGGTCACAATAAAGCTACGGTCACAAAGGTTCGTACGAACGATTATTTCGTGCGAATATCCCTGTTTGTCGATTGCCTTCCCGAATGTCCATTGTCTGAAAATCGTTCGTACGGCGCTCGTAGCAGTTCGTTACGTCATTTGTGACCAAAGCTTTACGTTACGGGCTGCTACGAATGCCGTACGAACGATTTTCAGACCATTTCGTAAGATCTTCTTACTAGGCCATACGAAACCAGCGTTCGTAGACCATTCGCAGACCGTTCGTAAGTTCGCAGATTGGTCGATGGTCTTGTCCAAGATTTTATTCAACCTCTTTAAACGAAAACCTCTCTTCGTATGGCGGCCGTATGAACGATGTAATTTCATCGTAAGAACCACGCAAGTTCTTCGTACATTTTGTAGGGTCGAGCGACAAATTTAGAAGCCTCAAATTTCTTACAATGATCTTAATAATGCCTGAAGTTGTTCACAGCGGGCTCTTACGGCATCCTAAAGAACGCCTTACGAACAGAGATTCGTATAGCTTTCGTAAGAACTACTCCTGGCGTTCGTAAGGTGTTTTTTTAGGTGTACTTACACATGTTTTTCTATTTATGCAGCGCTTTTTTGCAAACTGACAAAATATTTAAAAAATCGTAAAATCTTTTTACGAATAACCTTGAGAATGCCGTCAGTTACACGTAGGATCATCTTGCGAGAGCAAACAACTTGTTTAATGGCCGTAAGTCTGACGTAAGAAGAACCCAAGGCATTCTTACGAAAAATGAGAAACAAATTAAACGGCGTTCGTACGAAGTCCGTTAGAACGACGTAAGAAAATATACCCCATCTACGAATCTCTACGAACTCTGGAATTCCTACGAACAGGGAGATTCGTACGAACGCATCGTTCGTACGAACCTTTGTGACCGTAGCTTATAATGCGTCACCCATTAAAATGTGCGAACATGAGAAAGTCGTATTTCGTAATCCGAACATTAATTCTATGGGACAAACCCAAAACTTAATACTGGTTGAGTATGAATTTTTCCTGTAATCTAATTACAAATCTAATTATATCTTTTTGAGGGTTTAATTGAAAAATTTAGAAAAATATAGAGTGCCATTGTTATTTTTTTGCTGAGTGTAGTAATTACTCGTCATGCGAAAAGGAAGTATAAGCTTACCACAATTTACTCCTGCATCCTCACTATGGCTACATTCGGAATCCCCTGAAGTCAGAGAACAGGAGCCCAAGTTAGACTCCAGACCAGAGCACTGGGCTTGTCGAATCGGTCCTGATCCTTCACCATAGTAGGCAGATCCCCTAGCTACGACAAAATCGGTGCCATAGCCAAGCTGACGACATACAACCCGTGCTTCTTCAAGATTCCAGAAATCATCACAGATGGTGTTCCATTGGCCTTTGTACAAAACCTCTACTCTTCCTTCACCGGGCGATGTACCATTCACAAGTCGTACACTATAGGGTGCCTCTACATGAAATAAAGAGCAGGGAAATAACATAGAAAATAACTGAATGAGAGGTACATCTGGCATAGCTTGTTAAAAGCTATGTTTTGCACGTATGCATAGATAATAGCGAGGAGGCGAGTTGGCTTAGTTGCCTGTCAAACCACGTTGGGCTCGAATACAACCAAGGCGGATGACTGAGGCCTGCGTTGTGTGAAAACGAGTGCCTCCCTGTTTCATAGACGTAAGCTTTGTGATTTTTACGTCCAAGCTATTACAAAATGAGGGACCTGTACAAGTTATTGTTTTGAGAGCAAAATGTAAACTTTCGCAGTGGTACGTCAAAAAGACGAATTGTTAATTTATAAATTTACGAGATATGAAAGCTATTGAAAAGCTTAGTTCACACTACATTCTGTAACCGTCCTGGAAAATCGTAAAATCGGTTGTGGTCGGGGTAAAATGCGTTAATCATGTCTATAATACGATCCTAGTTCGTTCATAAACAGTCCTCAAAACGTCCATCTCGTCGGGGTAAAATGCGTTAATCATGTCTATAATACGATCCTAGTTCGTTCATAAACAGTCCTCAAAACGTCCATCTCGTCCGTGCCCCGTCCACAGTCATTTCATATCAAGTTCAGATCGGGTAAATTTGCCACTTCCAGGCAGTCCAAGCCAGTCCGTTGTCAGTTTAAACTCGTTATTAACTAGTTCTACCTCGTTCCCAATACGATCAAGCTCTGCAGATCAAGACATTCAAGTGAAGCCCCCACGACACCAAACTAGTTCTCACTACGTTCTTTAAAATGTTGCCAAACTGGCTCAAACTGTGTGGGAACGGAGTGAACGAAGTAGCAACTATTTACGATCTGTTTAATAACTTCATGGACGCGCTCGGACTGGCTTGGACGGGAAGGGTGCTCTAGAACTTGGAGCCTGTTCAAAATTTCCCCGTCCTGCAATCTAGGACCGGATCGTAGACATTATTTACACATTCTACCCATGCTATAACCTGTTTTTACGATTTTCTAGGACGGTTCCAGAGCGTAGTGAGTACTAGTTTGGTGTGAAGGGGGGGGGGGGGGGCTTATGCTGCTAGTAGGCCTAATTGATAGTCGACCACAGCACGTTGTAACACGTTTGAAGTAGGATCGAAGTACGGCAATTCCGTTCATAGTACGGTAATCAGTTCGTTTGTAGTACGTTCTCCTCGGTTAAAGTACGTTGTCACTCCGTCTAATTGCAGGACGGGGAAATTTTCGAACAGGCTTAAAGTTCTTGAGCACTCTTCCATCAATCCATACAATCAAATATGGCCGTTGTCATGCGTCATAATGTAAACTTTCGCAGTCGTTCGTCAAACAGAAGAATTTTTTTATTTCATTTTCGATATTTACTTATGTTTAGGGAGTGAATAGGGTAAATATGAGCATCCAAAAGTTGCATTATTTTTATGGATTTGTCAATTTGCTGTCAATTTCGATCAAGATCGTCATGTTTGTAGTCAGACAGAATGACATGTAATGTATAATTTCGGAGTAACGAATCCTTCTTTTTGTAATATATCAGATAATTCTAAATATCTGTTTGAGATCTGTTTGATTAAAAAAAAGAGACTCTGTAGAATGATAACGAATGGAATTATAAATTTAAAATAAAACGAAAATATGAATAACCGATATGTTCGTTGTATAGGTACAACGTACCAACAGTAGGTAGAACTAGGTTACCTGATGATGTAAAAAGATTTAATTATTATGATATACATTAATATTGGAATTCGTTGTGGTGTTTTGGTAATATATATATATATATATATAATTATAGAGCAAATAATTTAATGTTGATATTCCTCCGTCACGGCAATATACAAATAATAATACAAATAATCGAAATAAAAATTTATTGAGAGTTCTTTTCTTCACGATGACCGGTTTCAGAAATAAAATAGAAAAAATAAAATAGTGTTTGTAATTTATTTTGAAGATTTGAATTGTCATAGCACTCATTGATTTGTTTCTTTCTTCTTAACAGGTTTTTATATGGATTGCGTAATAAGTACCACAAATTATAAAAGAGACATTTCATTCTCTTAAACATGTTTTTAAATCAGACGTTTCATCATAAACAAATGTTACGTTCGAAATATACCTCCTGGCTTAAGACGACGGCCAAAATAAATTGTATTTGCAAATCAAATAACATTTCACATGTTAAAGTGACTTGGTAACATTGTTGAAGGTTGATGAAAAAATTGCTTAATTTTTGTATATAATGTTACTATATTCCTTCTACTCTACTAACCCTCTGAAATGCAAAAAATCCTGAAAAAATTCTCAAACCTCGAAGATATCTATGGTTTTCTTTGAAAAGGTCGATGTATGACACCCTCTAACAGTGATTAACAGTAAATTCTCCCAACCTTTTTTGAATTTGCCCGACCGTTTTTCCATGAAAAAAGGACATAAAACAGGCTATAAACAATCTGTCAACACTTAAATGTCTGGAATGGAATGTAGAGCCATTTTATTGCTTTGTGACGATTTCCATTCACCTAAAATGTAATTAAATTGTAATAATATAGTTGGGAGAATTAAGTAATCGATCAGATCAGTTTTTCCCTATTTGTACCATGAATAATGGTCCGTTTTCACTCAAATTTTCAGATTATCTTTAAATGTACATCTAGCATTGAAGTCACTACCTTAGCACTGCTATCTCTCATCTTAAAAATGTTACCGAGTCCCTTTATTAGAATTGAACTGAAATCTTTATTTATACACGGTTAAAAAAGCCCAAACAGTAACAAGATTGATTTCCATTGGGGCCGTGTGAAACAATGTAAAAACATTAAATAATCATATAATTTGTGACATAAAATGACATTGTTACACCAAAAGACATATTTAAAAACAAACAAGAAATAACAGGATCAAGATAAATATTTTAAAAAAAAGCAAGCAATAGAATAGTACTGCCGGAAATAATATGTATATGAATACAAATAATCATAAGTGGCTGGACAAGAGTACTGTAAATATACTAAATATTAAAATTGGTAGTAAAAATTGTTACTAGTTCAAATAAACTGCCGGAAATGATATATGAAATTATGAATAATCAAATGTGGCTGGTCAAGATACTGCAAATATTCAAAATCAAAATTGAAAACAAGGATTGTTGTAAGGTCAAGTAATATATGATTACTATAGCAAATACAAAATATTCAAATGAAACTGTACAAATTCATGAGATATGAAAGCTGTTGAAAATCGCTTACGACCGTAGCAGCTATTCAACTGCAAGACTGCAAGAAGAAATGTTAACCATGAAGCAAATCGCACACACCCAACCGGCGCCATTGTGATACAGAGAATGTTATGGAATGAACCTGCATCAATGCACGCCCCAAACGAGCTCAAACGAGCACATACGCGTATATGTATAATACCTTCTTTTTCGCATAAGTCTGTAATCATAAATGGCCGTTATAATGCGTCATAATGTAAATATTCGCAGTGGTACGTCAAACAGAAGAATGTCGTATTTCATTGTAGATATTTACGTATGTGTATGTGTAGTTCTGGACTCGAATTGTGGAACACACTCTTTCCTTAACACTGAAATGAGAACCCCACCCACATTTCAAATATCATTTAAAAACATTTCTACTTCAACATATTAGTTTGTTTGATTATTTCTTACTCTGTACTACCCTTATTTAACTTTTTATTAGTGTAATATACTTTGTATTGGATATTAACAACAATATCTCCAATACTTTTCAATTCTAACCTGTAATTTACATTATTAGTTTGTATATTGTAAGACATTGTCGAGTACTGATTCGTGTTTTTTTTAAAGTATCGATTGTAAAAGTAAATTCATTATATTTTGTTTTGTTACGTTCTCTTAACTGATTTGTACCAAAATACTTTGTTTAGCTGTTTAAGGGGTTAGACTAGACTAGGACATGTGCTATTATCTGGCCCCTTTTACCAACCAATAGTTTCTCTTCTTGTATATGTAAATTATTGTATAAAATGTATTGCTGTTGCTGTAGGTAAATAAATCAAATCGATCGATCAATCAATCAATCAATCAATCAATCAATCAATATTTTAGCGCGGGTAACCTTGCTTTGTATGTTAAAATTGATGTTGTAATTCTATCGTCGCAAAATTAAGCCCTGAAGTTTGTTAAACTTAAACTAATGTTTTCTTTGCTTTCTTTCTTAAATTACTTGATAGACGTATGCTCACAATTATACAATGTTCTCACAACTGCGCCAGGAGTGTCAATTTCGACAGACATGGCGCATTATAAATTTTCATTATTATTATTATAGGGCGAATATGAGCATGACAAATCTGATTTATTTTCATAATTCGTCCACTTTTATCAATGTCGGTCAAGTTTGCCAAGCTTATAGTCAGACATGATGGAATGCAACATATAATACCGAAGTAACGGGTCCTTCTCTTCGTAACGTCTCATCAAAATCATAATATTTACTTAACTACTCAACGCACAAACAGAAATTCATCATTTTCCATATGGAACGAAGGAAGATATGGGTATGTTTGATTAAAAAAACACACTGAAGAGTGACAGAGAACGGTTATAAAAAATTATTAAAAAAAATGAAATATGAATAACCTATAGCACCAGTAGGTAGAACTAGGTTACCTGATGATGTTACATGGTTTAATAATTTTGATATACATCAATATTCAAAACTAGTTGTCATGTTTTGGTAAAATATATATATACATGTTGTATTAGCAGGAAATCTATATATAACCCTAACTGGTACTTTAACAGGATATCATAAAAAGAGGTATACCCTAACGATTCAAAACGATATAACTGATTAAACTAATGACTAATTTTATTTATTTATTCTCCACTCATGGGATGGATTTCCCTTGTCAGCTATAAGCTGTTTTTCAAAGGGGTCCAGGCCAAGATAAAAACATACAATCAGAATAATCAATACATGTATATAGGCTACTCATAAGAATAGACAAATGAATACACACAAAATATAATTTACATAATATAAAAAGTAAATCTACAACAACAAAAATAACATCACTATGGGGGAAAGCAACTACAAAAGGTAAAAACGGATAGGGGAGTAACAAAACAAAAAATTACGAATAAGAAGAAAAGAAAGAAAACCGGGGTTCTTGTATTTTTAGCTTAATTTGTTAATTATAGGAGTTAAGTCTGTCTGCTATATAAGAATGGTCAGGATGATGGGTTTACTATTTATGTGACGCTTAAAGGCTTCAATTGATACAGTGGTGGAAATAGGGTAATTCAGCTCATTCCAAATCTTGGCCCCCCGATAGGAGAGAGATCTTTTCCCGTAATTGGTCTTCGGTTGAGTTAGTCTTAATTTATGCGGACCGGACCTTGTACAATATACTGATTCCAGAATTACAAAGATACTGCTAAGATAAGGTGGACAAATGTTATGAACAGAGCGATACATAGTACATGCTAATTGTTTGGACCATCGCATATATAAGCGATCTAATTTCAAGGTATCATATAAATTATTTGAAGGATACATATAATCAACATTCATAACAATACGAAGTGATCTATTTTGTAATACTTGCAATTGACTTAGGTGAGTCTTTAAAGCATTTGCCCAGACTGCGCTACAATAATCAAAATGGCATTGAATAATTGATTTATAAAAGGTCAAAGCAGTGATCTGATTAATGTATGGACGCAATCTTTTTAAGAGATATATACATTTAATTACTTTTTTCTTTACATGATCAACTTGATTTTTCCATAACATATTTTGATCAATGACAACACCTAGATATTTACATGACTGGACCCTTTTAATTTCGTTATTATCTATATACATATAACAATCATCAATAATATCGTGTAATCTCTTCAAACGCTGCTGAGTGCCTATAAACATTACTTCACATTTGTTTGGGTTAACCATTAATTTATTATCTTCTAACCAGCATGATAAACTTGAAAGATCTTCATTTAGTTTGCTACAAATTTCGACTGGGTTTTTTGATGACGTAAAAATACATGTGTCGTCGGCATATAATGCTATATCACATGAGTGCACATTATGGGGCATATCATTTACAAATATTGAGAATAATAGAGGGCCCAATAACGAGCCTTGGGGTACCCCGCATGTAATTTCCCTTTCATCGGAAGTATAGCCGTTTACAGATGTAAATTGTTTTCTCCTATCAAAATAGTTTGTGAACCATTTTAAAGTGCATTGACCAAAGTTATACATTTTTAATTTTTCTATTAAAAATACTATGATCGACCGTATCGAACGGTTTAGTTTTTGAGATCGATCATAACTAAACCAACAATATTGCCTTTATCTATTGCATTTAACCATTTATCTGTTACGTTCAAAAGGGTCGTTTGTGAATAAGCATATTGTTTCTTGGGAGGTCTATACCTTTCCTCTGCCTGCAAGGTACGTAGAGGGCAATAATTCTAATTTTCAATCGTTAACAGGACATGAAAATGTCCTGCTAATGACCATGTCTACTTAATGACTTTTCCCCCACTTCATATGTCCGTCTTATGACGCTGTAAGGTACATATAGATTTGTATCTGCGTGTGTACAATATATATGGGTCTAAAAGTATAACGAATAAACGATTATGTAGTCCTTTTTTTAATTTCTTTATTTTTGCATAACTTCAAGCCATGTTAAATCGTCTAAACAGAAGCAGATACAAAAAAAGGTAAGAAGACAACTATCTATCGCCCCCTCCATTGTTAAGTATTACGTTTCTATTGGAACACGAACCCCGACCCACTTGTGCATAAGATTAAAACTACATCTCGATGATATCAAACGTGTTACTACTGTACAGTAACATCTTACGGAAAAGGAAATACATTTTGTAGAAAAATAAAAAATAAAAAAATAAATTATGAAATTAAATAACTATCAACAGTTAAAAACATTGTACAAATCTGAATGATATCCAATTTATTGTAAATAAAATAGGGAAATCATTTCGAGTCTTAAAGCCCCAGTCCCATATAAAGCCGGACCAGCACGGACGAGCACGGACCACTCCGGACCATCCCGGACCATGGTCTGAGGTGATCCGGGATGGTCCGGGATGTTTTGTTCAAAAAAAGTGTGATGCTTTTAAAGCTACAGTCCCATATACGTCCCGGACCGTCCCGGACCATCCCGGACCCCATCCGGGGTGATCCGGGATTCAGTCCGTGTTGACACCGTGTTGGCACCGGGGTGGTCCTGGATGGTCCTGGATGGTCCTGGATGGTCCTGGGGGGTCCGGGAGTCGACCCCGGATGTTTTTGACGGTCAAAAACTGCCGGGGTGGTCCGGGACGGTCCGGGACAATAGTTTGATCCGGGGTGATCCGTGTAGCCACCGTGCTGGATCCGAGGTCATCCGTAGTGGCGCCGGGGCGGTCCGTGTTGATCCGTGGCAGTCCGGGAGTGAGTTATTGACCGCCCAGGACCATCCAGGACCATCCAGGACCACCCCGGTGCCAACACGGTGTCAACACGGACCGAATCCCGGATCACCCCGGTTCGGGTCCGGGATCAGCGCTCAAAATACACGGGGGCGGTGGGTGATTCGCCCCCGTGAGCTCCATAATCGCACCCGTCAGGTTGCTCACGGGGGCGATTGCAAAAATAAAAATCGCCCCCGTGGAATTATAAAATAAAGATTATTTTTTCTGATATAACTTTAACACAATATTGAGTATCAATTTTCAAACCTTAAACCAATGAAATGGAACTTAGATGGCGCTTTCTCTCCCATCTCTATGAGTATTATCGATACAAACAACGAAAGCTCGCAGTGCAGCTAGTGCGGCCGTCAGCAGTGGCTATACTGCCCCGCTAGTACCGACGTGCACGCGCTGACGCCCAATATCTGCTGGAGCTGGGGACGATCGCGCAAGTACTAAAACATGGAGATTTTTTTCGTTGTGAAAAGTTTGAATCCTCTGAAATCTGGTGATTCTAAAAGACCAGCAAATAATGTAACTCGACCAGTAAATCAATATTGAGAAGAAGAAGAAGAAGAAGAAGAAGAAGACCAAAGATGTTGCAGTGGCGGATCTATGCGGTTTAGGGGTTTAACCCCCCTCCCCCTTTGGCTGCCAAGTGAAAATATGTGATGTACATAGAAAATGATGCCAGGAAAACATCACTAAAGGGGTTCAAAATGGCACCAAAAAATCGCCTCGCCGCTTTGCGGCTCGTGGACGATGCTCCGCATGTTAGTATACATGTAGATGCAAGGAAAACATCACTTACGGGGGTTCAAAATAGCAACAACAAAAATCGCCTCGCTGCTACGCGGCTCGTGGACGATGCTCCACATCGTGTTTGGGTTACCCCCCCCCCCTCCACCCTTAGCAAAAAGCTAGATCCACCCCTGTGTTTTTGGAAGGATATGGTTATCCTTTCAAAAGACTAAAGTAAACAAGAATGTAAATAAGGTTGCTCCGAATAATGAGGAGGAATTATATGTGCAGAACGGGAAGAAATGGAGAGAATGTCATCACGGGGATAAAAGTCAATAACAGCTATGTAACAAGTAAATTTCTAAGAGGGAAAATGCCGACTTAAATAAATGATAATGATAAAATACCAAGGAATTTAGGAGTTTCATGGGTACCAATTCAATGGAAATTTGTATTAAAATAAGAGCCCCCGTCAGCACTAAAAGAGCCCCCGTGAGAAGGCTCACGGGGGCTCTTTTTTTTTTGGAACAGCCCCCGTGGACAAAAAATTAATTTGAGCCCTGTCCGGGATGGTCCGGGACGGTCCGGGACGTATATGGGACTGTAGCTTTTAAAGCCCCAGTCCCATATTAAGCCCCAGTCCCATATAAAGCCGGACCAGCACGGACGAGCACGGACCACTCCGGACCATCCCGGACCATGGTCTGGGGTGATCCGGGATGGTCCGGGATGTTTTGTTAAAAAAAGTGTGATGCTTTAAAAGCTACAGTCCCATATACGTCCCGGACCGTCCCGGACCATCCCGGACCCCATCCGGGGTGATCCGGGATTCGGTCCGTGTTGACACCGTGTTGGCACCGGGGTGGTCCTGGATGGTCCTGGATGGTCCTGGATGGTCCTGGATGGTTATTTTACTGTTTTTTGATAGTACGACTATAGTACTACGGCAAAGGAAGACACTTCGAAAATGTTATCTATTTATTGTACTTATTTGAAAAATGTTAAAAGAGGGCGACCTTTCACACACACGCTGGTGTCACAGGGGCACATATCAATATGGTTAAAAAAGTGAACACGGTACGATTAACATAGAATCAATAATAAGCACACATTCCCTTATCTAGTTTCGTTGGCCCCGTCTTACAAAGAGTTGCGAATGATCCAAATCAATCGCAAGTCCTCCAGTCAATCGCAAGTTTGCAGTCTCCTATCTCTTATGTACATAGTTGCGATTTATATCAATCGCAAATTAATTGTAAGTTTGTAAGACAGGGCCCTGGTGAACATGTAAATACAATAATTTTGAGGAAGTTTATCGCTAAGTAATGTTTTAATGCCATAAAGAAAAAAACAATTAAAAAAAAGGATGTGTGCGTGGGGGTGTACACTTCTTGAGGTGGTTTTGGCAGGACAGCCCCCTTCCTAAAGGAATATTTTGTGAGGTTCCTTCTGAACTCAAGGGGCGTTTGCCAATCCTTTTTGCTCAATATCCAAACAGAAAATTGTCAGTTTTTCGAGTATAGTAGTGTACAGTCACTCCCTTTTGGGCATAGTTGCGTGGGCTTCAGATCATGGGGGTGAAATCATTCGGCATTGCCACTTTGTTCAGGTCATCTTGGGGCTAAATCCAACGGGAAACGGTAAAGTTAAGAATCATTTAAGTATTACTTTTAGGGGTAGAATCTTATTGTCTGATGTAGAGACTATTTCAGGACAGGCTCCCAGACTAAAGGTTACCCAATCTATGATCGCTACGTCCTCGAAGCAACGGCTTTTGTTGGTTCAGTATTATTATGCCTATGCCATAACGCACCCATCGAAACCAGGTTATAGGTCACTGAAAATATTACAATGTAAATAAGTCGACTACGTTGACGAAATTGTATACCATACAGTTCAAGCTTGGTATTGATGGAATGATGTGTTTTCGGTTCGTATAGGAGAACTCGTTATGTGCTCTCGTTGAATTTTACGTGCATTTCGAACTATCATTCTCACATCACTTTACTCTGTCTCTCTCTCTCTCTATCTATTTTTCTTTCCCATCGATATATCTCTCTCTCTCGCTGTCTATTTCTCATTTCTCTCAATCTCTTTCTCTCTCTTGCTGTCTTACAAAATCACCAGTTCTCTTAACATCACTTTCTGAGTCTCTCTCGCTCCCCATACCCCACTCCATTTCCCCCTTCAAAATCTTTCTCACCGAGTCTCTATAGCTCCCAATATTCTCCAAGCTTTCCTACCTTATACTTCGACCAAAAATGTTGGCTGATTTTTTTTATACAAAAATACAAAGGTCTATGCATATCTTTAGACCTCGATCAAAGGCCTAATAACAGAAGAAAAAAATTGAACGGGATACAATTGTGACTCTAGTCAGCCGAATACACTGGGGCAAGCAAGTCTCGAAGTGGCATGCTAGATACAATCGGCAATTCTCCTTCCAAAGCTTTGGGCAAATAGTGTTCAACAAATGGGAAAGACATTTAATAGACATGTAAATAATAAAGTAATACGCATCTTTCGTTTTCTCAATGATAGACTTTATTAAAGAATAAGGATTAATACTATAAACTCAAGATTGTCTACCAAATTTAAGTGAAAATGAACATGTATTTAAAGGTGTTTGACTGTCTACTGGAAAATGCATGCTGCACACGATCTGTCATTTGATGCGTCAGCCGGATCCATTTAGTTGAATTACTGGCTTATGCGCTATTTGTCTTCACAGGCTTTGTAAGTGTAGGGGATAGCACAATTGAAATGACGCCAATATTAAATTGTAACAACATACTATGTTCGTTGGTATTCTATTCAAGTTTATTACATTTTTATTTCATTTTACATGTATTTTACAGTGTTTAAGGGAAATAGAAAATGAAAAAATAGAACCTCCAAGAAACTAAGATCGCATTGTATGGGTGAAGCTAGGAACAGCCTGAATAAATTTAATGCCATTATGAAAATAGTAGTATATGAATACACACAGGGGGTGTTTCACAAAGACTAAGATCCACTTGAATACGTTGAACTTAACTATGGCAGGCCGTTCATGCCACTGTTTGCGCTCATAATTAACTGGCATTGGTATCTCAAGGGGCGTACAAATCATGGTTACAAATCTAAAGAATTATAATTTTTTGATAATTCATTATTGAAGGAAATAATCGTATCTAAAGATTATAATGGTGAGAGAAAACAGTGGCATGAGCGGCCTGCCATATTTAAGTCCAACTTAAAGTCAACCTTAGTCTTTGTGAAACACCCCCTGACATAGCCACAAATAGAACCAGTTGCACCACAATCCGAACGTCGCAATTCAATAGTATTATAAATACACTGTTAGACCCCCTCCAGATATGACACGATTATGATGCCTTATCATGCCTACATGCGCAGCACATTCCTGCAAGTTATAACACGGAGTTTAGTGAATAGGCGCAAATCTTTTGTTGTGCGTACTATAAGTTGCCATTCTTTTAAACTAAAAAAACCACGGCGGTTTTTGTTTGCGGGTGCTTTTTGCGTCATGTCTAAATGAGCCCTTACGCTGCAGGGCTTAGCTTTGCAACTTCGCCATTATTATTGCGATGTTGGCTGAAACCTGATGTCAGGATCGTTGTGCGAATTGGGTCTTAATGATGGCAGTACGAAATGAAGTTTTGTTTTCAGAAGGAGAACGGGTCATAATCTCAATCTTCGGAAAGTCTACTTCGCGTGCGAATCCCTCCACGCATATAACTTAGCATTGACCTCATCTAAAGCTGGTTGGAGACGAGCCTTCACTCTATCCATGTATCCCTTCATCTTGGGGTTGTCTTTAAAGATATCACGACCATTCACAGTGAACTGCATAAACTGTAGACAAAGTTGGACAACAAGAAAAAGAAAGAAGATGTTATATGACAGACAAAATACTAAAACAAAAAACACGATTATGATTCCTCTGCCAAGTGTGGGTTTCTGACAGGTCTATCATTACAGGCGTACGTGGAGGCGGGATATCGGGGGGGGGGGGGGGGGGGAGGTTTGCTGCCCCGAATATTTGAAATTAACCATATTAACCGCCACCTGACACAAGGCACCCATCCCCTCGTATTTGGGCAACCGCTACCAGTGAGGTGCTTTATTTGAATTACTAATACAGATCTAGCATATTTTAATGACAAAATTACTATTTCAATTTACAATACAGATTAGAAGTTGGAAAATTGATAATTGGTCAAGTCATTTCAGCCACCACCCCCACTGGCGAACTTTGGCGTTTACGCCGTTTTCGATGCATTCATTGGTTATCACTTTTTGAATGAACTATGTGCTAAAACAATTCGATTTATTTAATGAAAAACTAATTTGCGTGAAAATGTCGGGTAGAAAACATTTACTTATATAATTTGGAAATCTGTCTTGCCGACTAATAATTGCAGGTTGTTCCAGAGTTGTTGATATGTAAGTTGAAGGGAGGGGGTTTTATCCCTAATTCCTAAACAATCACTGGCGATCCTTTTGATTGCAATATCAGGTAAATTATTATTAATGATGATGATGATGATGATGATGTTTATACTAATACTAATACTAATAATTGAGATTGAAATTTAATATAGCACCGGTAAATTTAAAATATTTAAAATAGCGCCTAAAAGACCATTCCATGGTAGCTGCGACCAGATCGATATCAGAATATGCAGTTCTGATATATACTTTCCAAACGGGACTTGCAAATCAGTCGATTGTAGTCAAGAAATATTGTTTTAAAGCTAAAGTAATATCAGTATTGAGAGGGAGCTACACAACATAAAGAGTTTATTATTTATAATTTCATCACAGACTTGATTTCAACTGCTCAACGGTCATTAAATATTGTAAAATCGCGTGTGCTTCCAATATGTTCATTTGAATCAAATTCATGACCCCATACCAAACATCTATATTTGCTTTAGCCCAACTGCCCTAATTAAGACACCAGGTAACCATTTACTACACCTGAGTAGAGAGTAGCAAATGTCGATTACTGTCTTTTCAAAGGAAGCTAGTGCTGCGGCGGGACTCGAACCGGAAAGTAAGTGTCAGATCCATAATTTCGTGACGTATCCACTAGACTACTACACACTACAAGAAAGGCCTTTAAATTACAAAGGTATACATTACCTCACACACAGCCATGATATCGGCGATTGATATTTCCTTGCCGCAGAGGAAGTCATTATCTTTAAGGAAACTCCTCTCGATCTTGTCGAGACTCTGCTTGAGATTCTCTGCGTCAGTCTTGACTTTTTCCTGATCCACTGGCTTCCCACTAAAAGCAGGAGCCAGTACCTACCAACCAAGAAATAAAAACATGACAATTTGTTAATTTATATCCAATATTTCTATAGCGTGGCAAAACACTTTCCTTAAAGTGACTCGGTAACATTTTCTCGGAATCTAAAACATAATTCCGGATTTAGCTCATGCTGCAATGACGATTATAAACTTTTAGGTTAGTCAGAAACCCCATGACTTTTACAAGCCGATCGCCTGGCTGATGGTAAAACCGGTCACTCAAAGATTTTTACTGTTTTGAGTCACTTCAGGATCATTTTGAAGCGCAATTCTTTTAGGGCTTCATTATTACTCCATATCACATACACTGAAAACACCTATGGCCATGCATCTCAGATTTAACATTGTTTAACGATTTGAAAAAAAATATTTTTCAGTATTTGGCTAATGAAGGTGGAGGAGGGGCGGGGGGAGGGGCAGTGAAAACACAACAATTGCTTCAATAGGTTGATCAAACAAAGAGTTTTCGCTAGAAAGGGGGTACAGGATGTCAGTAGTACTGAGTACAAGAGAAGTTCGGATTGTTTGAGAAGATATAATGTATTCGGCAGAAAGAATGAAAAGAGAGAAAGAGAAAGAGAGAGAGAGAGAGACAGAGAGACAGATAAAGATAAATTAAGGGGGACCGGGAAGAAGACAGAGAGAGAGATAAGAGAGAAAAAGAGAGGTGGAGTGAGGTGGAAAGAGAGATAGAGAGAGAGAGAGAGAGAGGGGAGACAAGGGTAGTGGCCGGCCAGCCGGAATGAAGGTATGGTTCATGGCCGGGGGTGGAAATGGTTCGGCAGGGAAAGACGGGAAATATGGCATTGTAAAGAAAACATAACCTCTGAGGACGTTCATCGAAGGCCAAAATGACCATTAAATCGAAAAAAACGCAGTTTATCACCAATAAAAAGGTTTTTTGGGGCAAAAAATCAATATTTATCACGATCAAGTAAGCTCATCAATAAATATGCAGAGCTTTTGCTCGAAAAACTTAATTTCCCAGCGATTAATCGGCAATGAACTATTGGGCATTTGACTTGCCTTAACCTATCAAGCTGTGCTTCAACCAAGGCCTCCTCGTCTTTTCCCCCCTCTAAATTGTACTTTTATGATTATACTGTATTATATTTTGGAACATGTGATTTCTGGAAGACAAATAAACTTGATACTTGATACTTGATACGTCACAACGTATAGTTTCTATATACCTCAGCCACGAAGATAGCAACACACTTGCCCCTAGTGCCTGTATGATGAAAGGCGATGTACTCATCCACACGTGCACGGGACTTCATGTCCTTAGGGTACCAATGATCCTCAATCTTGTCGGCATACTTGGTTGTCAGGTAACGGAATATGGCCACCCTACGAAAAGAATAAACACAACAAAAAATACAGAACGGAACAGAGCCACCCTGCGAAAAGAATTCAAGAACGGAATATAGCGAACCTGCAAAGAGAATAGCCCAAATAATTCAGTAAAGAACGAAAAGCGACTTTGCGAACATAAAGTCAATATACGAAACAAAACAAAAAGAAATATGGCGTCTCTACGAACGAAAAAGTCAAAATACGAAACACAGAACGGAATAAAGCGACTCTGCGAACGTGTAGTCAAAACAAATATAGGGGAGATAACCCCAAAAGGTCATACAATACCTCACCCAAATAAATATTTTCTCAGAAACAATTTCTCAGGGCAATGCCATTTTCATAAAAACGTGGCGTACTATGTGAGGTCATTTATCAAGTAAATATATTCAAATTTATGGATGCTCCCCTCCCAGGTGTGAGTGGTGATGGAGCATTCATTCACCTGCTATTGTCCTTTGTCTAGCAATCCTAGAACGTAAATTGCACAAATAACTTGTGCTCTTCTGGGGTTAAGGTTTCTCATAAATAGAAATAGATTTGTTAAGTGCTATGTTTAGTATTTTTAAATGAATTAGTTACAATTGTTCATCTGTTATATAATTGTCACTAAATGTAATTTCAAACTTCTAAGCTATGATTTTCCTCAATTTTCGATTTCAAAGGTCTTTCCAGCTAAAGCTTGGTGCATATTATAGAGATGCCAACATTTTGACACCAAAAAACAACAGACTGAGTATCCTAAAAAATCAGATTGTGGAGAGAAAAATCAGATTTTCACGGAAACTCGACACTACCACTGGCCCGTCGGGCCCTGGCCAGTAAAATTTCAGAAAAATGTTTACTCTTTCATTAAAAATTAATGAGAAAATAGTAAAGCAAAAACAAATTTCTATGCGATTTGCTGTTTTTATGGGTAAAAAATAAATAAAAAATTATCGTACTGGTTGGCATCTCTGATATTAATGCATGTACAACTTCAACTGGTACGTAACATTTTCAAGAAAATGGCTGCGCCCACGTCATGCTAAAACGCATCACATCATGCCAAGAATATCTTCATTAAAATATCTTTTGTTCATCTTCGTAAGGAATATCGTACATCAAAGGGCAGGAATACATCTCATCAGAATACCTACACTGATTATTTTTGGTGAGGTTCCTCTTAAGGTTATTTTTTGCTGTTCAGAATTGGTCTTACTTCTGATATATACACCTTTCCTTTACCTATAGTTAAGACGACCGTTGTTCTTCTTCCTACTACTACTACTACTACTACTACTTCTACTACTACTACTACTACCACCAGTACCAATACCACTACTACTACTACTACTATTACTACTATTACTACTACTACTACTACTACTACTACTACTACTATACTACTACTACTACTACTACTACTGCTACAACTACAGGTACCATCGTCACTACTGCTACTACTACATGTAGTTCTACTGTTATGTACTATCATGACTACTACTGCTACTACTACCTTGACTTATACTACTACTTATACTACTACTACTATTACTACTACTACTACTACTACTACTACTACTACTACTACTGCTACTACTTCCATCACACGTACTATGATTCCTAATCTTAATCTTACTTCTATTATCACTCCCGGTACGTCCTAGGTGCAAGAGTTATATTGTTTATGTTTATATATTATATTTTAAATTATTATCATTCTAGGCCTATATAGCGCTTCTATTTCTGCACTATTCCTCCAATTTTCATGATACAATATACTTGACACCTACAGTACAGACCTTTGGAATCTAGGTCACGTAAGAAACACACGCATGGCAGGGAAAAGCAAATAAGAAACAATTCTTACATTTCACTGAGGTAGAAATCACCATCTTTCAGTCCTGGAACTACTTGGAGAGGGAACTTGTCCGCGTACTCTGGCTTCTTGTGCTCGCCTTAAAAATAAAATTAAACACGTTTACATGTAAATGGTTATTCTTAATTCCTTGTCATTGGCAACATTTTTACCCAAATGGATTGTTAACGGCACGATGATAGGAAATTCACGACCTATAATTCATAAGTGTATGCTTATTTATTTAGCCCTAGAACTGTTCGGAGAGAGAACTTGTTCTCGTATTGGACTTCTGTGCTCGCTCTAAAATAAATGTAAACACGTATTCCTTTGAACATGTATTCCTCCAAGGCATTGGTATTATCATGTTTTGGACTGTTAAAGACACAATAGGGGAAGATTTTATGCAAAGGAACTTTTACAAGAATCACAATAGGCAGTTATGCACAGTGACAGTGTTTGAGAAAGAGCTTACACGAAACGAGAGGGTTCTATTGCAGGTCAGGTGGTTGTTGATCTTAGTTACGCTAAACAGAGAATCTGTTCATGTCCTGACTGATCTCAGACAGGTTTGACAAACAAGATGATCTTCAAAGTAATAATAATAATAAGACGGGTACAAAGAAAATATTTACATTTGTGAGATTGCGAATGACTATAGCAATACTTCTGCCCATACAAAGATTAGGAAGGACAAGGGAAAAAATATCCAACAGGTTTTGATGGTTATACAAAGCAACGATTTGAGGACAATCGATGATAACGACCTAAACTATGTCTTTGTAGAACGTATGCTAGTCGATTTATGAGAATGAATATTCAGCATTATTTTTCTCGGATCCAAAATATTTTCTAAACTTAGACCGAATTATCAACTGTTATCAAATTATTGACATGGGACCACCCCTGAAAAACAAAAGGAAAGCACTTGTGTACTGTTTCCGTGTATCGTCCCAGTCATATTTTCTTTCATTAATGCTTAAAAAGAAAAGAAGAGAGTATAGCGATGACCAAAATAATCCACCTTAGTCACACTCGACAAGTCGACACAGAAGAAAAAACCAACCGAATGGTAATCGACATAATGATGATTACATTACCTCCAAATAAAATAGTCATGATTTTATTGACTGTCGGTAGGTTAAGACCCCGGACCGAGGTGGAGGTTTGACTAGGGCGTGTAGGGGATCAGCAAACATCATGAAGGAAAGGAGTGGTGAGGAAAATCAACAGAATAAAACAAACTTGAGTGGCCGTATCCCGATAAGGACACCTCCTCATCATCATCGATTAACACTGAGGGTTGTGCTATTACCCCGTTATTAAAAAAGAAAAGAAAAATAAAAGAATCATCTGGAAAGTCCATGTACGGGCCTTTTCTTTTCGATTCCTAATTTTCTTTTCATCGCAACCCCCAGTCCTAATTTCCTTCAAATTATATAGACCTTAATATTGTTGATACGCATAAACATTATGCTATGATATAGGCATATATAACAAGCAATGTTTCGGCGTTAAGTGTTCATATTGACTCATATCGTGTATGCTTTATATACTCTCAATGATTCCAGGTGCTCGAAACTGGACTTTGCCACGATTGCATAACTAATTAAGCAATTCCTTTTCAATTCCGTCCTGTTTACATTGCGTAACAATATAAATACTGTACACAGTTTGATCATTGTCTACTAGAGGAAAAGAGGATTGCTGCTGAAACGATGAGTTGGCATTTTGCACGATACCAGGTACGCAGATGAAACCATGTTTGTTTGCATTTAATCGGTCATTTTTCGTAATGTAATAAAGTTTAAAGCACCAATCTTTGTTTAGTGCCTAGTTACAAATTATTTTACCTGGTACGAATAATTGTAATTCAATCGTCAGAATGCGAATAATATACCTTCCGTTATGTTAGGTAGGACAAACCATAATGTTTATAACACCTAGCAAACTAGCAATTAATATATGCAATTCGCATTCTGAATATTGACATACAATTATTCGTAACAGGTGACTGAAATGATTTCTAACGAGGCACTTCTTCTTCTTCTTCTTCTTTGGTATACTCCTCAACGTCCCGTTGGGAAACAACGAGGAGGATGAGGGGTGCGCACTCACTATGAACATTACTGACAAAAATAGCGGACAAAATATACAGTTCCTCAGGCAGACAAAGGAACATCCCTTCACTGCTATTATGTAAAAATGTGTAGAACAGGTATCATATGCATATTCACCTTTTTACATAATAGCAGTGAAGGGATGTTCCTTTGTCTACCCGAGGAACTGTATATTTTGTCCGCTTTCTTTGTCCGACATGTTCATAGTGACTGTTGCATAATATTTAGTCATTGTGGCTTGGTCGCTTGTAGTTTGAAGGTGTCGGTGTCTGAGGTCATTTGGATGTCGGGGGGTAGTGAGTTCTAGACCTTGATGGTACGTGAAATATAAGAGTGTTTAAAACAATTGGTGCGGGTGGAGTATTGAAAAAGTTTCCCGAAGTACGGATCTGGTGGCTCGGGTAGCTGGACGCAAGTAGACACTGGCAGGGCCAAGTTCCCCCAAGGCCTTGTGCAATATACAGACCCTCGAAATTTACCTTCGGGTAGAAAGCAGGTCCTAGCCTACTCCCATAAGTTTTGTAGCGCTTGTAGTTTGCTGTAGTCATTTGTAGTCATTGCATACTATTCTGGCTGCCACTATCTGTACTTTTCCAATTTCATGGGTATGTAATTTTGAATATGGGTCCCAGACACTAGAACTATATTCTACGATTGAACGGACTAGTATTGTGTTAGTTATAGATTTAGTTTGTTTAGTATATGATATGAGGCTCCTACGAAGGAATCCATTAACCTTATTGGCAGATGATGTTATGTTCGAAATATGTGTATCCCACTTTAAATCACGGGAGATTTCTACACCAAGGTATGAGTGAGAGAAGTTTTTCTGTAATACTGTACCTCCTATAGTGTACTTGGTTATAACATGAGATCTAGAAGCAGCAAATCTTAGAACATGACATTTTTTTTTTGGGGGGGGGGGGTTCGGTTGCATTTGCCACTTATTCACCCATGCAGAAAGTCTGTCCAGGTCGTCCTGTAGTCTGGTAGCGTCAAGTTGATTTTTAATGTCAGAGAATATAATACAGTCGTCAGCTTTAATATAGTCGTACAGTTGAGGATACCTCGTCTGATAGGTCGTTAACATAGGTTAGAAAGAGTAAAGGTCCCAGTACTATGCCTTGGGGAACGCCCGACAAAACCCTTACCCACTGTGAATGTTCTCCCCCCCCCCCCAATACTACCGTTGGTACCTATATTGTAAGATAGATGAGATCCACCGTTTGGTTTTCCCATTGATTCCATACTGATTAAGTTTAAGGAGGACACGAGGATGGGGCACAGTGTCGAACGCTTTAGAAAAGTCAGTAACAAGTAGGTCGGTCTGAGTCCGTTTTTCGGAGGAAAGGGTAAGGTCATGCGTGGTTTGAAATTAGTTGTTTCTTAAATCCATGTTGAAATTTACTAAGTACCTTGTACGACTCGAGATGATCATTATATGAGAGTATACAACATATTCTAATAGTTTACAGCATACAGAAGTGAGAGATATTGGTCTATAATGCTTGAACAATTTTAGCAAGAAAAGGCGCTAGTTCATGAAAAAACTCTAGTAGAAAACGGGGGAAAATTTCATCGGCCCCGGTGGCTTTTTTCGATCTAAGTTCTCCAAGAGTTTTTCAATCCCTGAAGTTTGTATGAAGATTTTTTCTACACACTAGGGATATTATACTGAGGAAGATTTGGTAGAGTCTGTAAGTTCTCCGTCGTGAAGACTAAACGGAATTGTTCGTTTAGTATTTCTGCCTTCTGTCTATCCTATGAAAAGACGACACCCTTTTCTGTTAATGCAAAAATTCCGGAGGAATCTTTTCAGAGACCTTTAACAAAGGACCAAGACTGTTTCCTGGATTCCAAGCAGAAATCTCTGATGTGTTTAAGAAAGATGTATGTATTCATTTTGATTACATTACGAAAATGGTCTATTGAGTACCTGAATAATAGTCAAATAATCACCACATGAGAAGAATGACAACACCGGGTCTAAAAACAGGAGAAAAGGAGAGGTGTCATCGCTTCCTAATCGATGTCATGCAAGGCTTTTAAAGAAAAACCCTACTCCTGTATACTTTTTATTTGTTGGTAAATACATGTAACCCACTGTTTTCATCAACTGATGAGAATATATGATGTATGCGGAAAGAAAAAGATGTGGTTCAAGAAAAATAATTACAACCTTAACCTTGTAAACTGTTTTATGCTGGGCAAATATAAATGTTCTGTATAACTTCCTCTTCATGAAATTTGATAAGGCAATTAAGAATGTATTAAAGTTGAAATTTATACGAGGTCAAATAATTAAATTCCAAAGAGGAAAATTTCTAAATAAGCAAGAATGAACGCAAAACAAGTACCCAAAGATTTTCGAGAAATAATACTAAAGGCCAAATAACCTTGTCCCTATTGGAACATGCGAACAGGAAAAGGACGTATTATAATCAGAACTTGTAACTATATATGGGTTATACAACAGTGTAATGAAGTTTTTTCTTCGAAAGTCTTTGTGATCGTGTTACAATAGACCATTTTCGTAATATATTAAACCAAATCTAATGCATACGTCCAAATGAGGTGCCTCAATACAAATGTTTCATACACCTGTATTTAAATAATTGTATGTTAATAGTATGAACGCAAATGCATATATATTACGTGTAATTCTTTGGCAGGGTAAGACATTCTGCTTGGGCCTATATACCTAGCAACAACTTAATCATGCATGCAATTTGTATTCTGAATATCGAAATACAATCATTTTCAGTGGTAGAGCAGTGGTCTCGTAAACGCGATCGAGGTCCCGGGTTTAAAACTAAGTCAATACTCTAGCTCGTGCCCTTTCGTTAGGCATTAATTCGCATTACTTAGTGCCTCGGAGAGGACCTATAAAGTCATCGGTACCCTGGTTGTTTATTGAAGCATATACATGCTTTCTTAACAGTCAGGTAAAATATGATCATCAAAGAAACTAATTGTATTTTATATGAGACACTTTATACATTAAAATGGTCTATTTCATCCCCGATGGTTTTGTGTTTGGTCCATTATTACACGATGCTCTTTAAATGGGTATTCATAGCCACTCATTCACAAAAAACAAATCACAACGAAAAGAGCATACCCGTAAAGAGGTCGATGTATTGGAGCTCATGTGGAATGCCCATCAACTTTAGAAAGATGGCCAGAGAACGGCATGGCTGAGATCTCAGATCGACGTACAGCTGGATTGTCATGGTGGTTTTGAATTCTCAGACTTTGCCCTGGTTCTTACTCGATACGTGTGGCTTCGTTCCTTACCTGTCGACTGCTGACAAATACAAAGACACGGCAGTCGATGTTTATCCTGACCAGGGAGGTGATATAGAGTGCAGAGTGTTTGCGCATGAACCATGGTTTGCGTGAGCTTCGATGCATGCCCAGTCTGTGCATACAATGGGTGGATTACGTATAAAGACGTACACGTATAGCTCCGAGGGGAGGGAAGCTGTTTCTCTTTTAAATATATGTGTTCACATTGATATATATATATATATATATACCTTCCCTCCTTTCTTTTACCATGTTCTTGAATGTTAGAGCGAGAATCGAGATCGCTGAAATGGTGGAGATTAAACTGATTGAATCTACCGGCATTATATCGTCTCTTTCTTATGGCGATATAATCATAAACAAATATAAATGCAAACACACAAACACATACCCGCACCCACTCGCATATTATATTCGTGTGTGTGTGTGTTTGTGTTTGAATACATATCAATTATATTTAGTAACACCCAAATAAAATACTGGATGTTATTCAATTATATTAATTGACATAATAAATCGATAGAAGGACGGGGGACATTGTCCTAGGCGAATATGAGACATGCCTCTCTCTATATATTTGTCACCTCACGACGATCTAAATCAGGCCTTCTCAACTAGTTTATTAGAAGTGCCAAAACGAGAAGAATTTGTAGTTGAAGTGCCAACATATGTATTTGACCGAGCCGAAAATGGATGGGGTTCAGGGGCAAAGTACTAAGCTGGTTGATTTTAGGGCTTTCTAAAGGCCCAGATGTGGCATTTTTAACACTATTTTATTCCAAAATATATAAATCATGATTTCACATTGATGTGAAAAAATTAATACAATTCCTGGGTATAATTACTCTAGAGGTAAATTTATATGTACTTATTTTGGTGCAATAAACACGGGAAGTGTTAAAATCAAACAAACAAGAACAAGATGTTTCCAGAGATTTGTAATGCTAAAATTGGTAGTACATCGTATGCTTATTGTTGTTTAGAGCCCTGGTTTAGAGCCGTATAAAATGGTCAATGCGATAAATTCCCATTTCTTCCTAGTTGTTGGCTAAGCAAACAATTTAGGCTCAACTTCGACTATGACTTCTTGATTTTGCTGAGTGTTTAATTCTAAAATAAATATTTTCTCTCTTTTTTCTTTAGTTTCTTTGCAACAGTAGCGCGCCACTCTAATTGACCGCAAGCGCCGTCAGTTGAGAAGGCCTGATGTAGATTATAATATATGCATATATTAAATATCTGGAAGTCTACGACTTGTTATTGCTTTATTAATTATGCCTTTAAATATGTGCCTTAACCAATATAGACCACGGAGACGGGTCAGTGGCTTCGCCGAAACCAAATTCAATTGAGGGACAGATTGACGATTTTCAACCTTTATTGATTGATTCCTTTGTAGATCGGCAGGCAGCCGCAAATACTTAGTGGGGCCTGACGGGCCCGGCCTCCCACTCTTTAAACAAAGGAAAGGAAAGGAAAGGAAAGGAAAGGAAAGGAAAGGAAAGGAAAGGAAAGGAAAGGAAAGGAAAGGAAAGGAAAGGAAAGGAAAGAAAAGGAAAGGAAAGGAAAGGAAAGGAAAGGAAAGGAAAGGAAAGGAAAGGATAGGAAAGGAAAGGAAAGGAAAGGATAGGATAGGAAAGGAAAGGAAAGGAAAGGAAATGAAAGGAAAGGAAAGGAATGGAATGGAAAGGAAAGGAAAGGAAAGGAAAGGATAGGAAAGCAAAGCAAAGCAAAGCAAAGCAAAGCAAAGCAAAGCAAAGCAAAGCAAAGGAAAGCAAAGGAAAGCAAAGCAAAGCAAAGCAAAGCAAAACAAAGCAAAGCAAAGCAAAGCAAAGCAAAGCAAAGCAAAGCAAAGCAAAAGAAAGGAAAGGAAATCAAAGCAAAGCAAAGCAAAGCAAAAGAATTCGGCAGTTTGCTGATTCATAAAATAATTTCCGTAAAAGCGATTGTAAAATCATAATTTGTTCAGAAAAATTACACAATTTTATCATCCGAATCTGGCTAAAAAGCAGATATCAACATTTAGCAATCTTTTCAATCAAGTCTCCACAACAATACAAAATCTTTTTACGCTATTTATATTCTAATTTTATTTATTTTTAATTGCATATTGAGCTTTGGTGATTTTGACTTTTACTGACTACCCCGCAACTCGAATCGACTGTCTTGACCTCATATTAACGATGGATTTCTTTACTTGATTGTAGAAAAAAGGATCAATAATATTCAATACTTCATAGCTCATAGGATTAAAATGTAAATGAAGGTTGCAACATGGATTGTATAGGAAACGTTATGCATATTTTGTTATATCCTTGCCTGGTGCAACTGAAAAAAAATGTATCCATTTAAGAAGAAGAGAAAAAGAGATCACTGTATATCCAATCTAAAAGCAGTTTTGATTTTGGTAAAACTTTGAAAGCGCTTTTTACTCTTTGAGTCATGATGACTATTGATTCTCAAATTAAAACTTTGAATCACAATATTTTTGTCTAATTGTTACATTTATTTAAGGACTGCACGGAGTGTTCTTTGTGTTTAAAAAAAGTTGATGTTATGTGAAGTTAACAGGTTGCGTGACAGGATAATGCGTGTATCAATCATTTTTCTTCTTCTATAAAGTCACTGAAATTTGTACAAATTTAGTAGCAAACCTTCCCTTTTAAATAATAATTATGCGATCATACCTAAAAAAACTTTTTGAAAAGAAAGTAAACAATATATCACAGTTTCATTCTAAAATAGGCTGAACCCGTTTTAATGCCGAAAGGAGCTGGTTCGCTTGTGTCTCCTTAGATCAAGATCAAAATACGGTTCCTAAATTAAATTGAATTAAATTAAATTAAGTTCTTCCATCGCCCGATGGCTGCGATGACCGTCTCATTTACGAGGGCCAGGTATTCATCTGTGCAACCCGTTCTTACTTGATATACTTACTTGGTATACTTGGTAGATTAGCCCTCTTTTCCTAAGGGAAGGGCTCTCAATTGACGCTTAAAAGTCGCCACTGTATGTGCAGACACTACTTTTTCTGGTAGGCTGTTCCACGGTTGGACCACTCTGTTAGTATAAAAGTGGCCAGCCAGTTGAGTTCTGGAACGTCTGCCGCACTGCAAAATGTGGTCCATCGCCTGAGTCTCTCCGCAGTCGCAGAGAGTATCTTCTCCATGGGCATAGCCCCATCTTGCCATGTTGGCCTTACACCACCCCAATCTCGTCTGAATTCGACTTAGGCATTTCCACTCTGGCCACTTCAGGTTTAGTCCCTTGATGAGTATATGGGCTTGGCTGGTGGTGGGATTCTTCTCAGGTGGTGGGACAGAATCGAGGAAGCTGTGTCTGGATACAAGGCGTCTGTGGGGTGGTAGGTAGCCGTATATCATGTGTCTGTCGTCTATCGCCTGCTTCATCCATTCCTTTAGGCAGGTGTTAGAGCGTCATTAGTTAGGAGATCCGATGCCAGCGAGGCGATATATCTCCTCAACCTGGGCAAGCATATTCTGCGGATGACATGAAACAGCTGCAGATTGTATAGTTTTGGGGTCAGCGCCATAGTGTGAAGTTATAGCTTTCCGATGATGGCATTTAGAGATTCTACTTTGCCTATTGGAGCTTAATCCGTGTTTCATTCCAAAAGGAACTAAAAATCCACGAAAAAAATAATCTAAAAATTGAGTAAGACTCAGGAAAAACTGGTCGATTCTTTCTTATCATGTATTAGTGCCGGTCCAGGCAGAAACCTTTGACATATACAACAACATGAAGGTACATGGCTAAAGGGAAAGTGAAGAAATAAACAAAGGCGATTTACTCAAAAGTACCCAAAGTGGAATTACCTCCTTTTGGAATAACTCTTTATATATTGTTATAACTCCAGATTTGACTGATTGTGATATATCATTAATAAAAAGTAAAAAAAAAAAATGACTGGGGCAAGTATTCCTCCTTGTGGTACCCCTACTGACAGTTCCTTTTTTTTGCAGAAAGTTTACCTTACGTGAATACTTGTTTTCTTTCCTTCAGATAACTTGAAAACCATATGAGCAAGTTTTCAGCAATACCATATTGCTGCATTTTGACTAGTAGAATATCATTGTCTACACAATCGAAACATTTCGATATATCTAATAAACATGCCCCCAATTTTTGTTTTCATTAAATGCATCAAGTAATTCATCGATAATAATGATAGAGAATATTTACGAGGCGCATGATTTCTCTATGCTTTACAATTATGACAAACTTGAATTTATATACAACATAATAACTAACAAAATAGTTAACCCGCTGTCCACTGGAACCGGGTTGTCCTTGTGTTATCTTCGGGAATGAGAAAATTCAGTAGTCAATGGGATAAGCAAATAACTAAAAATAATTATGGGAAGTAAACCAATTCACATATAATTACACCTAAGTACAAACTATTTGAAATGACATATTACAAATTCAACAATCATACACCCATACGTCGAACCAACCTCCTAATGCCCGCGTCACAATGTCCCGAAGTTGACAACAGATGGGCACACGAGTATGTAATTTTGAATTTCGCACGAAGATGGCCCCGAACTTGGTCAACAGCCAGCCAATCAACAGCCGAAGGAAGTACGATGCCTACATAAGGTCACACGATGGCACCCGACCATTGACGAATGCAACACGAAGATGTGAATTTTTATTAAGTAGTTTACCCGCAGGCCACACTAAGGCCGCACGATGGCTACACGACGTCGTATTGATAGTACGCTGCGTTCGAACTAGGTCACGAAGGCAATTTTAATTGCTGATCGGAGATTAATGATGCTCAGGGCAGGAACGTCGGAGCGTCTTTCAAAGTGGGGGACGGGACCAATTAAAAAGGGCACTTTCTGGAAAAAGGGCACCTAGAAAGGGAAATCTCAAAGCGAAATTATACAGTTTGTTAGACATTGGTATATACCCCTACATTGTGACTACATCAACTGGGATGCTTTCAATATTTGTTTATATTTATACATCATACAAGATATTGTTTAAGCAGCATACT